CCATTGCTTCCCAGCAACCGCAGATTGAAATCGTCACTTCTACAAGCCCGCCTCCCATCACAGGGAGACCGGACGTTTATAACGGCAATTTGAACGGTCTAGGAAATAGGGACGACGCCTCAAGTGCGAACAAGGAGGAAGACGAAAAGAAACAAAAGGCCAAAATTGCTGCCCGGGAGCTTCTGGTCCAAGCCGCAATGCAGCGGGAGGAATCCTATACGCTGTAATTTGGCGGTTGCTATCGAGTAGAAAATTTCTTATATATCGGCTAGACGAATAAGTGTTAAAGCGGCTTCCGGTGTTCCCTCGGCTGTCGGGGGTGGGGCTGGGTCCCTCACCAACTGCAAACTGCCGATGAGTAACAGCAAACACGACAATACGAGACCTGCATAATCGACTGTTTCCGTGTCAACTCACTGTGAAGAATGAACAGAGGACTGGGAGCAGCAAGGAAACTGTGCAAGTCACGATCGATTCACTCATATTACGCTAGAATATCATTGATTGCACAGAGACCGCAGGGCCGGTACATATCTGATCAACGAACCATGCAGGCAGGGAACGCATGGCAGGCTCCGGGAGAGGCAGCCTTCGACTTTCGCAGTTAGTTGGCCCAACCCCTCAAATCGAGACTTGATGCTGAGTTTAGGACAGGCGATGTCATGACAAGGCCGACGGTTTCGATGTTGGAAGCTATCACAAACACGTCTCTCGGCGATGATGTGCTACAGGAAGATGCCGTGACTTGCTCTCTGGAGAAGTCTGTTGCCGAGTTAGCGAATCATGAAAGTGCTCTGCTGGTGATGTCTGGAACCATGGGGAACCAGGTGGCTATCCGAACTCACCTGACACAGCCGCCGTACGCAGTTCTGTGCGACCACCGCGGCCACATCATTAATTATGAAGGAGGAGGTGTGTCGACCTGGACCGGGGCCTATATCAAGGGAATTGTGCCCAAAAATGAAAGGTATCTCACTCTAGAAGATATCATGCCCCATGCCGTACTGGGTAACGATATACATGGCTGTCCGACACGGGTGATCAGCCTTGAAAATACCCTGGATGGGATGATAATGCCGCTTGATGAGATGAAACGGATTTCCGAATGGGCACATGCAAATGGGCTGAAAGTTCATCTTGATGGAGCTAGGCTGTGGGAAGCCGTTGTTGCCGGAGCTGGAAGTCTTTCTGAGTTCAGTTCTTTGGCAGACAGTGTCAGTCTTTGCTTCTCGAAGGGTCTCGGTGCTCCAATCGGGAGTGTTCTCGCCGGGTCGAACGAGTTCATCCAAAAGGCCCGCTGGTTCAGGAAAACCATTGGCGGAGGGACTAGGCAGTCCGGTATTATCGCAGCCGCAGCCCAAGTTGCTCTCAATGAAACATTTGGCAGTGGGCCAAATGGTAAAGGAGGAAAGCTACTTGTAAGCCACGAAATGGCTAGAAAGGTTGCAAAGTTATGGACCGAGAAAGGCGGAAAGCTCAAGAATCCAGTGGAGACCAACATGGTGTGGCTTGATCTCGAGTCATGCAAATTGTCAAACGAAGACTGGATTGAGATCGGCCGACAGCATGGCTTGAAATTTCTAGGCGGCCGGCTCGTGGTACACTACCGTAAGTATTGCGTGCAGCCCCAGTTTCTTAATTACCTGGGGATAACTAACATGTAATACAGAAATAAGCGAAGAGGCTATTGCGAAGTTGGACAAGGCTATGAACTCTGCAATTAGCGGTAACTTCACTCCGGCTGCTAAGAATGAAAAGAATGGACAATATTGCGGCCAGGCATGAGATGTATCCACCTTTGATTTTTAGCTAAATAACCGACCTGAGTTATTCGCCAGGGTTCTTGAAGTAACAAAAAATAATAACAGTTGGCCTAAGGTATATATCTTTGACTGTAAGTACATAGTATTTTTGTTGCAATTTTTAAAGCATTTTCCCGGGTATTTGACATTCAACGACCTTAGTTCATGGGTCATGGCTTATTCTTTTCGATGGTAGGGTCTCAAGTAGGGTCTCACGGAATAGTAAGGAAATTATCCCATTGTCTATTTTCGACTTTGTAATGGCAGCTCTCGACCAAGGTGAACGAATCAAAGATCCTGCTCGGATTCTGTCTTAGGCACCACACAGCCCTTCTGGGCCTTATCGACTCCCAACCACAGGAGGTCTGGGCGGCTATAATGTCCTACCACATCGATGAAGCCCTTGCTCATAACGACTCTCGCCATGTCCAAATCAGCATAAACAATACCCTCGGCTGCAGGATTGCCATCAGCCAACGGTTTCGTCAACCTACGGCCGTCTGGAGCAATGGCAGCGCTGTGTCCACCACCTGGCCGCTGGAAGAGAAGCCCGCCCTTGGTCTTCATGGTCTCGATTCCCTCCTCATTACATACGGCTGTGCAGTGCAGGACATAGGCACCACCCTCGATGGCATGAGTTTGACTGAGGTTTTGACATCCCTCGGCGCTCATACTCCATAATGCCAAGGCATCAACACCAGGGTGAGGGTCGATTGGCGGCCACATAGCGATATGGATCGCTTCCTTTTGCGAATAGGTGTGGTACTTAAGCAAAGGCAGCGCGTGCTCCCAGCAAGCCAAGGTTCCAATTTTGATAACACCGATATCGCCTCCAAAATCAACATCTGCAACATTGGTGAGATCTGAGCCAGAACCGTCTCCAAATACGGTACGCTCCATATGAGTAGGCTTGATCTTTCGGCGATGCATCAGCAGTTCACCTTTGGGAGAGATGATTGCCTGGGCAATGTAGACGCTATGGGTATCGATTGCTTCGACAAAACCAAGTACAACTGCGATGTTGCTTTCCTTTGCTGCTGATTTGATAGTATTCATCTCAGCAGAGTTGACGGATAGCGAATTTTGTATGTACTTGGTGTTGATGATTGGATCGACTGGCCTTTGCCTGTAATAAGAGTATAGTTAGCAATAGTGTAAAATCTCCAGGTAGTATTTATGGATAATCTAACCAAATCCATGCTGGGTAGCCGGGAATCCAGCATTCAGGGAATGCAACAAGCTTTGCATCGCCCTTTGCTGCCTCAGCGATGAGGTTGACGGTTTTCTCAACACTCCCAGCCAGGTCTAGCCACTTAGGCTGTGCCTGGGTAATAGCAACTTTCAAAACAGGGCCAGACATATTGGAATTGTCGTTAATATCGCGCTAATTGATGGAGGAGGAAGCTGAGGAAAGGGGAGTTCTCTATTGAAAGTGGGGGATTGTAATCCCGCCCAGCCGCACTTATGCAGCTGTCGAATCCACCAATCAGTTGCACAACGGTGGGGTGAACGCTTGGTATACATATCAATCTCTGAATAAATACAATAGCAGGGAGTGACCATACCTTGCTGCTCCTATTTTAAAGTAGCTGCTCTGTAGTCCTCTTTTTGCGCATGTAAGACATGTATCCCTCCAGGTCTCCTGGATACTGGAACACCATTGGCTTGTCGAGGAGTAGGAGTTTGTAGGTATTATTTCTAAGACCAAAACTTGAGGGAGATAATCAGTAAGAAGCCACAATTTTATCTCCTAACTATTGCAAGGATAATTTATGCATGGTTATCTTCTACATGGCAAAGCTGTATCAATTACATGTGCTGTTCGGGTAATCCGTACTTCCATTGAAAAATATGTCATTCTAGAGGATAAAGTGTCCAGGATGCCATTACAGCTGGGTCGCAGGCGCTCAGATAATGCAATTCAAAGGTAAGACCCCTGCAAACTCAAGCCTTGACCGACTGCAAGAATGAAAGCGTTGCTGCCGAGGCGGAAATTGAAGTTAAAATGGTCCGTGCGAATGATTGACCTATAAATAGCATTAAGCAGTGTCATGTGACTGTCAAACGGCAAGTCTAACCTAAAACCGTTAGCTCAGGCACCGAGTGGGTGTAACCCAATCACGCTGGCCGACGCGGCTTCTGCCACTCCGACATGTTTTTCCGCTCTCCGCAACTTTGGAAGGGAAAACATTGAAAGTTTTGGTTTAATGTTTTGAAACGGATTCTGGGGTCTGAGATGGCGCTGTTTCCTCAGCCTCTCGCCTCGACCTATTGAGACGACGTTGTCTTCTGCGTGCCGTTCAGCGTTCTTTTGGTTGTTGCTCTGTCGCTTGTGAGTCATCAATGCATTCGTTTCTGTCTGCCGTGCGAACCACTCGGTGGCAAATGAACAGGGCAGGCTACGTATACATGGATTTCTGCCGCTGACCAAATATTCTGTTCATGACTCGCTAATCAGACTAAATTTATTTCATTCATATAGATTTCAGCCTTCCTGCCTTTGCCTGCCTTGATTTTAGCTGCCTGCTGTTGCCTTGCACCCGCATAAATACCAATAGCGCTTTGACGATCTAGCGGACATCACATCCACGTACCTACCTGCCTTTGAGTGAGAACCCAAACGGCACTCCTCCAAGGCTGGATGTGATTTCTGGAACGTGGACACTCTGCAGGATACAACTGACAAATAACAGTGAGCTCGTAAAGCTGCAGCTCCTGGTCATAACTCATTCATCTCCCCGGTTTGCCAGCCAGACCAGGCAGAAAGGCTCCAACAGCCTTGGTTATTTAAACCCCTGCCTCATTTGGACTATAAAAAGGGTTAGTTTCCCCAGCACTTTGTTGGTTGATATTGCAGAGCCTGCTTTAGTTCGAAAGCATTACGTCCATTATTGGGCGGGATGGGAACAAAATAGCATCATCTTTAAAGTATTACTTTGTACTCTGCATTGCAATTGTATATCATTCTAAACTGACAGTTTGCTTGAAATTGCACAGTAAACCCAACGAGGATATGCCTGGAGATTGTACTCCCGAGGATTTGTAAGCCTCCCACACAACACCGACCCCTTCTGCGACACACGGTTTGGTGATTCACGTATTCCGGATAACTGGGTGGGCAGAATTACTTGCGATAACACCGCATTCTATTCTCATTGAGCTCAGTCTCTGAGGGAGTTGACTCTAGAACTTATCCTCATGGATGAAGAAACCCAGCCTTCGACCCAACCCTACGCAGACCCCCGTCGCAAGGGCGTTAACAACTCCGGACTGAGCCAGCAAGATGTAGCTGATATTATATGTATCCTACATCCCAACTCTCCTGCTGCACATAAATCAGCCTCTATCACTGCAGACCGCAACCCGCAGCATATTTTGCAGCGAGATGAGTTTGACCCTGACCTCGATGCCTGTGAATCAACATATGACATCGCATTACGGTTTTCTTCATTGGTGAAAGATCAGAGCATGGGTTTCTGCTTTGGTCGAAGCTCAACACGAAGCGATATCATATTTTATCCTGATCATAGGGTGTCAAATACTCATTTTCGCATATATCTGAAGTCCGATGGCATTCTCATGCTTCAAGACACCTCTACTAACGGGACCATTGTGGACGGAAAATCCATACGGAGAGATGGCGGAGATAACAGCCCAACAACCCAAATGCTTATGTCTGGCTCCGTCATCCATGTCACTGGGAATGATCTAGCTTCAGCTATAAAGTTTGTCGTCAGGATACCTGCCCGAGACGAACTACAGGCGCAATATACTAGAAATCTTACCTGGTATCTTAACCGGATTCGTCAACTTAGCACAAAAGTGGGTGATGTTGGGCGCGGAGAGATGCCTGCTCCTGGGATTGTCGTTGCTCACACTAACCACTCTCACGGGATGCATTGGAACGGTGGAGCCAAGTATAATGTAACTGGCCAGATTGGAAAGGGGGCATTTGCAACCGTCTATAAGTTGGCAACCAAGAACGACGGTGCTGTATTTGCTTGCAAAGAATTGGATAAGCGCCGTCTCACGAAGAACAACGTTTTAGACCATAAGGTTGACAGCGAAATGAGAATCATGAAAGACTTGGACCACGTATGGAGCCTCCCTTATACCAGATGTTGAATTGAAATAGATACTGACATATATCATCACAGCCTAATATTGTTCGCTTTCATGATTACTTCGACTTTAATAACCGCTGGATTTACATTATTATGGAGTATATCGGATGTGGAGAACTTTCGAGCTATCTCCAGAGCGCTGGGCTTCTACCTGAAGATCAAGTGCAGAAAATTTCCCGACAGCTACTTCACGCCTTACAATATCTTCATGCCCGGAAGATAACCCACCGGGATATAAAGCCAGACAATATCCTCATATCTTCTTATGACCCGTTCATTATTAAATTATCAGACTTTGGATTATCTAAGGTCTCACAGGAGGAAACCTTGATGAAAACCTTTTGCGGAACTCTTCTTTATTGTGCGCCGGAAGTGTACCCGGAATATGATACTTATAAACATCAACTGCCTCGAAAAAGGCGGCGACCGGGCGACCCGTGAGTATTGCTCCAGGCCAAGAAAATAGCGAAGCTGAGGACTAACTTTCCTGGCGTAGTTTACCAAGAACGTCACCGTACGACCAGTCGGTTGATATGTGGTCATTCGGAGCAGTAGCCTTCCATATTCTTTCCGGCCACCCACCCTTTATGGGCCGTGGAGATGACAGGGGAGCCCAAATGTTACGAAATATAATGACTACGGAAGCAGATTATTCACTGCTAGAAAATGTTGGAGCATCGGAAGAAGCAATCGATTTTATATCCAGGCTGCTCAACCGCGATCCCAAGGCTCGACCAAAAGAGCCAGAATGCTTTCGACACCCTTGGATCGCTGAAGTTCCTGATGAGTTTGAGTACGAAGAAGTTGGAGAACCTATCCAAACCGGCCCTCTTACTGAACTTATTGCTGTACCAGAGCTCAGCGAGGAAGAAGACCAGGATGATAAGGATGTTTGGGCTCGTGCATGGTCTCTAGAGCGAGAACTAGAAGACAAGAGAGAGGCATACCATAAGCAACAGTACGGAGAAGAAGAACAGAAGTTATCGTCTTCTGACCAGAATGCCAATGCAAAGAAACCCCGTGTGACATTGGAACAAGACATCGAGGAGAGGCATGTCCAACATCCAGATGATGTCCGATACCCTTCCCTCCCGCAGTTGTCGAGCTACCAATATGAAGCCAAAGCCGAAGTGAAATCTTCACCTAATGGGCCCCGGCTCTTTGGAGAGATCACTCCATCTCTTATCAAGAGCTCCGGAGTGCTTGGCGAGGATTACTCTGAAGAGATGGATATAGCGGAACTCGACGGAGATGACGCCGATGACTCTAGTGATCAATACGTGATATCTAACGAAGGCTCAAGCCTGAGCAAAGATATTTTCGCGGAAGTTGGCCAACCACACCCGCCACTTACGATGAGGCCACCGCCGCCGCCGAAAGCTTCAGATCCAAGTTTGATGGGGGCGGAATCATTAGTTGGCCATCTGCATATGCGTTCTGCTGGCCAGAATGGCATGGCATCCGGTGGGCGGAGCGACGGTGAGGGTGACATAGGGAAGCCGCTCGATGGGGATTCTCAAAATAGCAAGAAATACGCTTCCTCTAACGGAACGGCTAAGGGAAACTGGGCTGAACTCAAAGCTGGAACGGGTCCAGGTCCATTCTCTCCAACAAATAAACATTCACCATTAGGTGATAAACTTACATCTTATAGATCAGTCCCAAGAGATACGAGCAGCAGTGTTGAAACGGACAAGCCGCATAGCCCTGCGCCAAGCGAAAGGATGGGTAACCAAGATGAGATTCCAAATGAACTTGCATGTACCATTGACGAACGCACCGGACTCGAAGTTCCTTCTCAATCGCAACCGAATCAGGACACTAACGCGCACGCTAAGGAGGACAAGGAGAAAGGGAACGGATTCGTCAAGCCTGCTGCAATCCTAGGAAAACTGACGCCCCTGCCTGGATCTATCCTTGACCAGCCAATCCGACTAGAGTCACGAATGACATCCTGGGGTCGAGGAACACAAGCGACCATCCGCCATCCAGACTCTATGGACTTTCGTATACCTTCATATGCTCTTGAATTGACTTTCTGGGCACCGTCAATCGAAGCTCGAATCGCTGCTGGAGAGGATTGGTTACAAATGACTGACGTTGTGACGCTGATATCCACAAAGACCAGCCAATGTATATGGGTCAATGATGTTGAGCTACGCAAGGAATCCCAGAGCAAAGACGCATTCTTGTTTGGGAGGATATACACCGGCGACATCATCACAGTGTATAGAAGCAAGGAACAGTTTCTACGCTTTCGGTGCGAATTCTACCACGGAAAGAGCCGGCTGGAAAGACCCGCAGACGAGAAACGGTTCTTGATAGAAGAATCGCCAAAGTCCTACTGTAATAATAGAACAGAGGGCAACCAGGCACCCAAACCAGAGCGGTCGCCTGTAGAGACGTCAGCCTAGAGCAACAGCCCTATCATCAAGAGCGCTGTCGCATGTGATATATCTGCATGACCGGTCATTTGGAAGATTTCTATTTGTCATCTAGTGTCTCTACTCAATTGTGTCACTGCCTATCCCATCCCAGTCTGATATCTGTTTTATGTTTTATATACACCTACCCACTCACCAAATAATTCCAGCCACCATACACTCAAAGCACCTTGACAGCTATCCCAGCGCAAATGTGAAGACACTTCAGAAGATAATTAAGTAAACATATCAAGCATAACTCATAAATGAACTGTGAGGCTATGACTTCTGCAGAGATCTACATTCTTATGTCTTCCGTTAGCTTGAAAAATCATCTCAAATGCGCCTCTGACCAATTAAGGCAACCTTAAGTTCAACGACGACTCCAAGCCAAACAAAAACTTTCTTCCAACGACATCCAACACTCGAGCAGCCGCCAGTCGCATCACAATCCCTCTCAACAGCTGCTCTTTGTTCCATCCTTCCTATCAAAACAGACGAAGACGCAGTGTTGATCAATGGAGCGGCAAATTTCTTCACAGGCACGGTGCACCGATGCAATATACCGGCGGCAATGTGACTCTTACAAGGTTAATCGACCACTCGGGATCCGGAATTCGGCATATTTATGGGAGTAAATGCGAAATAAATTGGAATTAAGAGATTGAATTCAAACGGACGTGCAAATAATCTCGCCTAATATTACGGGCGGAGTGCTGTGCCACCAGCTTTCAAATGTGTCTTCTGGTATTGCCCATCCCTGCGTCGTGAGCAGACTTTGTATTGAACCACGGCAGATATTCCACCTAAAGGGATACGAGAAATGTGACATAATGGCAACCAACCACGACCAGGCTTCGGAATAACGGCAAAGGGCGCGGTGAGCTTACCTCGGGCGTCGGACAAGAAGGAATCCTGGGTACGAGAGCGTTTGGAGCTTCATGCATCGAGGCCAGTGCCTATCCGTCGCTGGACGAAAACCTGCAGGTTTGAAGCCATAACGACGGATGATGCAATTTAAAGACAATAAAGGAGCTGTATCTCAGTTCGCAAGTAGTAACTCCGACCTTGGAATTCGGAGTAGAGAACTCCAGATTACAAGATACCTCTGCTAACTGGCTCATTAGTTGTATATGCCCACACTCCCCGTATACCAAGCACCCCACAATTTTCCCCGTGGAGAGCCAGCCGATAATCACAAATATGACAGGGTTGCACGAGTGACATGTTGCCTGCTGGGGCAGGGATGCGGCTTGCTTTGGTGATGCTTGATTCGGTCCAGGTTAAGTTGGCGAATCCACCCGGTTATACCGTCCATTGGAGATACGAAACAGAAAAGGGAAAATGCAATCATCACCCATCGCAGGATGCGGGGAGGCTAAACTAGAAAGACGAGATGCGGGCGTCCGTGGGAGGGGCGAGTCATGGAAATTGACGTCTACTTATCCCGAATCTCTCTTTGAGTTGATGTCTTGAGACTTATAATAAGCACCCTGCGGCCCTGCCCTTCGTCCCTTTTTGTTTTGCACCCTTGTGCTCCCTAATTTCAGTTGTGCGTTTTTCCTTTCTCTCGGGTGAAACGTATACTGGCAGTTTAAGATGAACGTGAAATCCTTATCGCTGCTGACATTGGCCGCTGCCACAGTGGAAGGTTGTGTGCGCGAGCGAGATGTCGGTTCAGTCGATATTCTAAGCGTGCTCTCGAAACGAGGACCTGGACACCCCAATCTGCCGCACTTGTCCAAGTATGAGTCTATGTTGATTAACAGTTTCGACAACACCACGGTCGACAGCTGGGCTTACTACTACACTCATGGAATTCACATCGCCGGAACCAATCAGAGCATGGCACAATGGACTGCCGATAAATGGACAGAATTCGGCATTCCTTCGTCTCTTGTCTCGTATGACGTATACCTGAACTACCCGGTTTCGCATTCACTGTCACTGACGCACGCTGACGGTACGACCTGGGAGGCTTCCCTGGTGGAAGACGTTCTCAAGGAAGACGAGACATCAAGCTACCCGGACCGTATACCGACATTCCATGGCTACTCTGCCTCCGGTGAGGCCACTGCCGAGTATGTTTACGTCGGACGTGGACAAAAGGTTGATTTTGAAAGACTCATCCAGTTGGGCGTGGACTTGAAAGGAAAGATCGCAATTGCACGATATGGTGGTCCATTTCGGTAAGTTTTCCCTGAATTGTACAATTATAAGCTGAAGGATTTGTGAATGTCTACTAACACGATTGATTAGAGGCTTGAAAGTCAAAAATGCACAAGATCAGGGGATGATCGGCTGCATCATCTTCACTGATCCTGCGGATGACGGCAATGTGACAGTTGCAAACGGCTTGAAGGCATATCCAAACGGTCCTGCCAGAAATCCTAGCGCGGTCCAGCGTGGATCTGTTCAGTTCCTTTCTATGTTCCCTGGTGATCCAACCACTCCCGGATACCCTTCTCGACCAGACTCTCCACGAAAGGACAAGAGCCCTGTTGTACCAAAGATCCCGTCAATCCCGATCTCACAGCTGGATGCAGAGCCAATCCTCGCTGCACTCGACGGCCACGGAACTCCAGGAAAGGAAGTTAACCGCACCCGATGGGTTGGTGCTCTTAATGCGACATATGCTACTGGTCCTGCACCCGGAGCCAAGCTTTCCATGAGTAATGTGATGCGTGATACTTATACCCCTATATGGAACTCAATTGGTATCATTAACGGCACGGAGCAGGATGAGGTGATTATCATTGGAAACCACCGCGATGCTTGGATTATTGGAGGAGCCGGGGACCCCAACTCTGGCTCTTCCATTATGGTCGAGCTTGCAAAGGCGTTTGGAAAGCTCCAGAAGGCTGGCTGGAAGCCCAAGAGAACCATGTATGTTTGTGCCCTTGGATTTGTCCTGACGCAATTGGTGCTAATATTGCATAGCGTGATGTGTTCTTGGGATGCGGAGGAGTACGGACTCGTTGGCTCCACTGAATGGGTTGAGGAATACGTATGTTTTTCAATATTGAGAGAAAAATAAGCCGACTGGTACTGACTGTTATGAATAGCTGCCATGGCTCAAGGCATCGACGGTTGCGTACCTCAACATCGATGTTGCCGTCTCTGGTCCGGTGCCTGACCTCAGTGCTACTCCCGAGCTGCACAAGCTGGCCCTAGAGTCTATGAAGAAGGTTATCTGGCCGTACAAGGGCCGTAAGGACACCACCATGTACGATGTCTGGAACACTGCAAATGGCGGCGAAGTCGGCGTCCTTGGAAGTGGCTCTGACTACACTGCTTTCGTCCACAACGGCATAGCATCGGTAAGTTGCCTAATTTTCGGATGCAACGCACCGTAGTTACCTTTGGAGTTAACGCGATGTAGCTTGATACTGGCGCGGGAGGGGACGGTAACACAGATCCGGTCTACCACTATCACTCGAACTATGACTCGTACCACTGGATGGCCACCTACGGCGACCCGGGCTTCCACACGCACGTTGCCATGGGCCAGTTCCTGGGCCTGCTAGGCTACCATCTAGCCACTGACGACATCATCCCATTTGATGTGACTAACTATGGCGTGCAGATGACGAAGTATCTGGACGTGCTGAAGAAGTACATCGCAGCATCCAAGTTCCCTGATCTGGACGTGAGCAAGATCGAGAGCGCCATCTGCTCGTTCAATGTATCTGCCAATGCTGTTGCGAAACTGCAGAGGAAAGCCGAGCACAGCGTCCATGATATGAAGCTGAAAAAGCATCTCAACACCATCTACCGCGACTTTGGCCGTGGCTTTGTCTCGCAGGGTGGCCTTCCAGACCGCGAGTTCTACAGACACATGCTGTATGCCCCGGGACTTGACACTGGGTGGGTTCCCCGTTCCCCTTTTTACGCGTATGCTAATTGCAGCTCTAACTGTCGAGCAGATATGCACCAACGACCTTCCCTGGCGTGACCGAGTCTCTTGATGCCGGCAACCGGACAAGAGCCGTGGAGTTTGTCGAGCGGGCGAGCAATGCCATCTATGTAGCTGCTGGCATCCTGTCGTCCTGCTATGACTGCAACCAGTTTGTCGCCCAGGAGCAGTAGTAGTACATAGAGTAGCCATCAGCTGTCAATATATGTCTTTTACCTGTTACTCCGTCCTCTCTTCCCTGTTCTTAGGCCATCCCTTCCCTGCTCTTCCCTGCCCCTGACCCCTGACCCCTGTCCTGAGCCCGCTTGCTACTTCTTTCCTCTGAGCCGCCTCGAAGCCTCAACAAGCGACTTCGTGGTGTAGTTGGTTATCACGTGAGTCTAACACACTCAAGGCCCCCAGTTCGAGCCTGGGCGAAGTCACTCTTCTTTTTTTTATTTTTTGGATATTTTTTATCCATGGCTGCTTTTTATTGCTGTGGATGTTCGATAGACAAAGAGATAAAGTGATGATGTGATGATGGACAGATAGAGCCCTTGCTAGCGGTGGAGAAAGCGCAGAGATTGCGTGTCGAGGATCGTCGCTTTGCTGCGAAATCTCTATCTGGACGGAGCATCGCAAGCCCCTTTTAAACCCATCTCATAACAGCGGCTCATATAACACAGAGTGAGCGGGAGAAACGAAGAGGCGATTACTATCTAGGCGGGTAATCTCAACGTACAGGGTGGAAAGTTCGCTCTGCGTTCTCTGATAGGAACTGATCTTCGCCATGTGTGCGATTCCTGAGCGATAACAAGGCGTTTTCTCTTCCTAGATACGGAGCGAGCTGCGGCTGGCGAGCAGAATATATGGCCCTGTCTGCTCCACCGCTCTCCTTCAGAAGATGAGGGATTACGAGCAAAGGCCAGCTGGATCCCATTCCCATTCCTTTGTCTTGGGGATTCTCAGGACTCACAGCCAATACCCCCTAGTTTCGTAGTATCTGGCAATTCTCCGTAGATAGAGCGTAGTGCAAGTGTAAGGCTGAAGCCTTTTGGCGATCAAACTGCTGTCGACGGCTGCATCTCATCCTGCACCTCTGGAGCGGTCACACAGATGGACTCGAACGGCGTCTCAAGATCCCCCCAGACAGGCCAGCAGACAGGCCAACAGACGACCATCGACGGGACAGTCACTGAATATAAGCATGCAGGGCCCTTCTCCTGCTCCTCTTGAACATCTCGGAAGGGAACCAGCCGGCCACGCTGTCTGGTCGAGCTAACCAGGGCTCGAAAGGCCGCTGTGGGTCAGGGGGCAAGCCAGGCGAAAGAGGGCGCGTACGGGAGGTTGAAGAAGAGCGGAGAGGCGGGCTCCCCCTTTGCTGGCTCAGAGCCCTCGTTGGCCCTTTTCCTCCTCCCTGGATGGGCCTGTAATTGGCTGTATCTCGCGGTGGCGGTCCAGACGGTCCTCCCGTAGTTAGTCGAGAAGGAGAGAGAGAAAAGGATCTCGACCAGTAACCAGAACCGCCAGCCAGCCAGCTGAACCAAGCAAGCCCGTCCCCTTGAAATCTTGCGGTAGAAAAGAAAAGTCTCTTGTCCTCGTCTTCGTCTTGGTCGTTTCTTCGCTAGTTGTCTTGCTTGTACTCCTTATATTGCTCCCTGTCTCTCGTTAAAAGGCCGACTGACTTCACTCCCCTCGCCCACCGCTGCGTCTCTGTCTCTCCATCGCTCAGCTCGTATCGCAATCCAAGACATCCTGGCCAAGCAGACGCAGCCCCGGGGTAAAAGAAGCAGAGGACGCCTGCAGTGACACAGCGACGCAGAGAAACTCGACGGGGGCAGCAGAGCGGGTGTTGCTGGCGGAGGAAGAAAAAAGAAAAACACGTCCATCTCCAACTCCTGCAACTTCTGCTGTCTCTTATTTTCCCTCTCCTGTGCACCCAGCAGGGCCCGACGGAGTGACGAACAGGCTCGCCGTCGTTCTTCTGGAGCGAGTTTGTCCAGTCTCCATATCCTCTGCGTTGCTGCCGGCGCTTCTGCTCGTCTCCACCGTGGAGAGAGAGAGACAGGAAAAAAATTATATCTACCGCAAAAAAAGGTGCGTTGTGGCTACGCTGGCTTCTACTACGACAAAACCAACTTCACCAAATCCACCCGCCAACTCCAGCGCCAGGATGGCCCGATTGCTGACCTGAACGTGCGAAATAGGCCCTGAGGCTCGCTTCTCTGCTCTGCGTCTCTCGTCCATGCCTGAGTCGTTCTCGTCCTCCTCTGAAAACCCAGCCAGCAGCTCCACGCACCACCGCCGGCGCTCCTCCTCGCATATCCGGCCCTTGAATCTGGCCCCGTCCTCGTCTCTGTCCGCCAGCAAAGGTGCCAGCAGCAAAGCCCCGGGCCTCCTGTCTGCTCCTGCTCTCTCTCCTATCCCGGGCACCCCCTCGGTGACGGGCAACTCGCCCATGTCGCTGTCCAGATCTCCCTCTCCAAGGCCAGGCGGAGGTTGGTCCAGTCCAGGCCTGACCACCGTCACTGCTGGGAGCAGCGGCAGCTCCAGCCCGCGTCGTGGCTACGGCGAGCTCTCCTCCAATGGCCAGGCGTACTCGAATGGCGGCCTGGACGGTGACCACGGGCCCAACGCTTCCTGGATGGCCGCAAAGGCCAAAAGTGACCGCGTAAAGGGGTACCCTTCCTTTTCCACTCGAAACAACGGCTTCTTTTCCAGGCAGCGCAGGAAGATCTCCGCCAGCCTGCCCCGGTTCAGACTCAACTCCATGCTAGACTACGGCGAGAAGGAGAAGCTCGGAAGGGGGCGATGGTCCGGTCCAAATGGCAGCCCGCTCTTATACAGGATCAAAACACTACTCGGCAGTCTTCTACGCCGCACGAGAATACGCCTTCTTCTATTATCCATTCTGTTGTTTATTCTATGGCTTTGCTTTTCATCACGTATGTCCCCTCCTTTTTTTTTTTTTTTTCTCTTCTTTTTTACCTGCTACATCGCTTTGTACTGACGTGCTGCAGCTATCTACGAATCATATCGACGGTCCTCCATAGGCGGAGGAAAGAAAATAGTACTAATTGTTGCGTCTAATGTCGGCGGCGGTGTTATGGAGTGGAAGGGTGCGCGCGAATGGGCTATCGAGAGAGACAGTCTCCGTAATAAGAGGAAATACGTCAAACGATGGGGGTACGACCTCGAGATCGTTAACATGGTCACCAAGAAGCGATACGCCCACGAATGGAGAGAAGGCTGGGAGAAGGTCGATGTCATCCGTGGTGCGCTGCGGAAATATCCCAAAGCCGAATGGTACGTTCTGCTGCGATCCATCGTAGTCAGCTTTCTAAAGAATTTGCGTATTAACACTGCATAGGTTCTGGTGGCTGGATCTAAATACCCTCATAATGGAACCTTCCTACTCCGTCGAAAGCCACATTCTCAACGGTCTAGAGAAAAAGACTTACCGAGACATAAACAAATACAATCCCCTCAACATCACTCACCCCCCTTCCCTCCCCTACCTAGACCCTCTGTGCCTCTCACCCGAAGGCGACAAGAAGACATCATCAATCAACCTAATCGTACCTCAGGACTGCGCCGGCTTCAATCTAGGCTCCTTCATGATCCGCCGCTCCACCTGGACAGACAGACTGCTCGACATCTGGTGGGACCCCGTCCTCTACGAACAGAAACACATGGAGTGGGAGCACAAAGAGCAAGACAGCCTCGAACACCTCTACACCCACCAGCCATGGGTCAGACCGCACGTCGCCTTCATCCCACAGCGAAGAATGAACTCCTTCCCGCCCGGTGCTTGTGGCGACGGCACGGATCCCGGAATCCACTACCAGCGCAAAGACAGGGATTTCCTAGTCAACATGGCTGGCTGCGAATGGGGACGAGACTGCTGGTCGGAAATCTACAATTACAGGGAACTTAGCAACTATCTCAACAGAACGCTCTGGGAGAAGTTCAAGGACGCTCTAAGTGACCAGTGGAATAGAATGCTAGGTAAAGAGGTCAAGAAGAGGCCATGAAATGACTCCTTTACCTCTTTTCTTTTTGCCAGCTATCAATCCATGCTTCTCCTTTATTCTTGTTCTACTTTTTCTTGTTTAAAGTCATATATCTATTTATTGCAACGGCGCCCCTTTGTTAACTCTTCTTCTTCCCCGTTCTTCTAATTTCTTCCATCCAATACCGGCTCCTTTCCCTTTGAAAATATATCACTCTCGAAAGATTGTTTCTATATAATGTTTTCTCCTTGCTTATTATTCCCCTACCTTGAATGTTTTTTCTTGTTCTCCCAGTATACACGGAAGAACCCCCCTTTTTTACCCATTCCATTCCTTTTCTCTTCACGACAGTAGAACATCTCATTCCTGTCCTGGGCTGCTGGTTCTGTTTCTTTCCTTTTTCTCTTTCTCGACTCTCTGCATCCAGCCCTGAGCTCGCCTTGTGAACGTTCGCATTCTCATTTAGACCATCGCTACCTTCATACCAGTGTGCATATATGTCTTTCGTGTGCTTCCGTTGGATCTCTCATCCTACCAACCAGCCATTTTTTCTCTTCATTCCTTTTCTTCCTCCACCTCCTATCTGTATTTGATTTCCTCTCTGTTTTGCTCAACTGGAAAAGTACGATTCGTTTTTCCTACAAGCGACGTGTCATGAGTCTTTTTCTGTGTATCTTGTTCTCTTTCGATCCATGGGATATCTGTATTAACTATCTTGACATCTACTTCTTCCAGGGCTCTTTTCCTCTCATCTTGTCAATTCTCTTTCTAACTCTTTTTTCTCGCCTCGATATATAAAAATAACAAAACTTATTGAATATTGAAACTGCTGATGTAATCGTATCACGTGAACTTAACTTCTGACCAATAGGAAATTAGTATTTTCCGCAACTTCAACTTCGCCGACTTGCTCGTTCAAAGAGAGAAGAAGAATCGGTATCAAGCACGCCAAATAGCTTCCGCTCTACCGCAACTTAGGACCTGTGTCCGCCACTCACCAGTCCAACTACTTTCCTTCTGAAGCGAAATTACAATGCCAACCCCCGAGTCCGCTGCCTTCCTGGCTAAGAAGCCAACCGTCCCTCCAACATACGATGGCGTCGACTTCGAAGACACCGTCGCCCTACACAATGCCCGTGACGCTATAATTCGCGAACAATGGGTTCGCAGCATGATGTCCAGACTTGTCGGCGATGAATTGGGCAAATGCTACCGAAGAGAGGGCGTGAATCACTTGGAGAAGTGCGGAAAGCTCAGAGGTGAGTTTCACCCAGTTATATCATCAGCGGATGATTCGAGGATGACAGAAGGGTGTGTGGTGCTAACGTGTGGCATTGGGTAGATAAATACTTCGAACTTCTAGGGGAGAGGAAGGTCAAGGGATACTTGTTCCAGGAGAAGAACTACTTCGAGAAGCAGCAGTGAGTCGAAGGAACCGGGGAGTGAGCTGTGTGGCGATTTGGATGGGAGATGAAGGTATCCGTCTGAACTGCCTGGTTGCCTGTGGTTGGATTGAGTAGTTAGGTTGGCCGAGGTGTCTCGCTATTCCATCTACCGGTACATGGGAATTCCAGACAAGGTGTTATGTGGCATGCGGCCAGCTGTTGGGCCACTTTCATGTATAGATATTTGCAACAATTTCTTATATGCAGACATTAACTGTTATCCCATCAACTTGAAAAAAGAAAGCTGTACACCATCATTATATGCATATGTTTTCGCCAAATATCAACCGTTGGATGTTCGCAATCCAGTAAAAGTGCATGCTAATAATAGCTCCGGGATGTTTCCTTGTCGTCCTCGCCTTCGCTACTTTCCAAGTCTATGTTGTAATCGGGAGGCTCAATGGGTCCTCTTAACCGTTCGAGCTCAGCTGGCTCCAACATAGGTGGCACATATGGCCCTGGCGGCGCGTGTATATCCCTTCCGGAAGGTAGCTTAGAAGCGTATGAGCTTGGAGAAGGAATGGACTGGGTATTGACCTGTTCACCAGGCTGGTTAGCAATGAGGATAGTAACATGAAAATACAAAGTAGGAACATACTGTATCATTCATCTTCGTCCACTTCTTTTCAAGCATATCAATTACCCTTCCCTCTTCCTCCCTCCCAGCATCATCGCCATAGTCAATGTCAGTCACAAGCTCACCGGCTTTAGACGACGTCGCCACTTTCTCTATTTTCTTTTCCTCTCTCCGCTCCGACCACTCCTTCTTCAACCGCGAAAACCCACTTAATTTGCCCTTAGACGACTGATCGGCGCCAGTCTCTGCCGTTGAGCCCTTGAATCCAAGCATATCCCGAGCTGCTCTTAGCCAGGCAATTCCCTCTCCAACTTTTCCGGACATCTCAGCATCTATGCCGAGGAATCGACAAGCCTTTGCTCTTGCTACTCTTGCCAGAATAAACATATAATTCACAAGATTGCTGTCTATTTTCCTCTCAGACCCGGAATCACCATAGCTAGCAGCTGATCCTTTACCCTTTTGTAGCATTATAGCGCTAGCTGCGGCCTGCTCAGCATACTCTGCCGCGCGAACGCAAAGGCGTGCGAAAAGGAGTGTCCGAACTTTGGGGATATCAGGAGATTTAATCATCCATTCTGTATCGTTCTTGTTGCGTGACTGGATACATGCTGACAGGAAAGCATCATCCTTTAAAACAGCAAGTAAAGTTGCCTCAGCTAAGGCCAGTGACGATAGAGCAGATTGCATAGATGGGTCCAGGTCAGGAATTGGTATATGTACCATCTCGGCACCAAAATTGCCTGGAGTATATGTGTTTGAAGGAGCGGAAATTGATACTGGGGAGAACGTGGCAAGATAAGAATGTATACTGCTAGCTTGAAGTAAGTGTTTTGTCGCAGCTTGAATAGCCGTTGCCTTTTGCTCAGCGGTAGGAGTGTTGGCCGAATACAAAGTGGTTAGATATTCAGTTCGTGCAAGTGATGAATGGACGTAAGCCAAGGTCGACAAGACAAAGGCAATCTCGAAGTCCAAGCCACGGCCCTTTACTCGTGATGACGAAGAAGCGGAAGACGAATCGTTGCCCCGCATCGCAGCTTGGCGTAGCATTCGAATTGTAGACATGGAGCTCAAAGTTGGACGCCATTCGACCTCGATTTCAGCTCGAAGTAGGATGTCAATATCGTCGACACCTTGCCATCGCCCCCCATCTTCCTGATCCCCTCCAGGTGCATCTTCTCGCCATGAGTTGGAGCTTAATCCCCGTGATATAGCAGATAGATAGGGGATATACTCGTTCAATGCTATTAGGACATGTGGGAGGTGAGAGGCCCGCTGGGCAGGGGAAAGGCGTTTATGTTTCTTGAGAGCGGCCCTCAAGCCATGGCGAGCGGTCGAACTCGCCTGCGGGAGAGATGGATGGGTATGTGAATGGATAAATGGGGGAAATTGAATGTGTGAAGTTGTTGGTAGAGTAAATAAAAGGACCATCCTTATGTTTGGTAAGATATTAGCTGTGTTAGCCGTGTTTACATGCAGCTGGATACAGTGTCCACAGACGGTACACTGGTGAAAGCGTGACGTATGAAGTCTTTCCGCACCGTGAGAAGAAACGCGTATCCCGGTTCTTCAGCAGGCAGCGGAGCACGGCAAAGGCTCTCCTTGCAAATTCTTGAACTTGAGTGTCTTTCTCTTCTAGATATCAAATTTCAGTTCATCGAGATGTTTGAAGTATGAAACTTGAGGAACGTCGCGACTTTCCTTCTTTTAGTGGAGACCCGCCTGCATCACATGATGTCATCGGGCCCGGGCGCCTGGCGTCATGTGACCGTTTCTTCAAGATGACTCAAAAGGGGAAGTAAAGGGGCGTTGATATTTGTTAATATATACGGGATTATACGCATAAAGTGTTTGTATTGTGCATAGAGAGATGTCTCCTGATTATTGAGAATGTGATATTAAAAAAAAAATTATCCTAAGACCGTATTTCGCCATGTTTGGTATCAAAAGCAGGGGGTAAAGCAAGGTAGAAACGAAATGGGTATTACATATTTGGTATCATAAACAACACTCACCCCCTGCCACCGATAGAGACCTTCTTCAGCTCCAAGGCCTGTTTCAAATTCTGTACACGTTTGCCAAGTTTAGCCTTCAAGATCGGATTGTTCATTTCCTCCCACCGGCGTGTCTCTGCCTGCACGTCAGCCTCGAGCTCAGCAATCTCCTCAAGCTGCTCTTGCAGCTGGCGCTGCTGCTCGAGAGCATCTTGATCCAGATCCTCATTGGCATCTTCAGCGGCAGACATCCCACTCTCATCTTCATCCCCAGAAGATTCTGCTGGAGGCTGCAGTGGGGTGTGAGGAGTTTGAGGAGTGCCTATATCCAGCTCACCCTCAGCGTCAGGTTCGTGGCTATCGTCGCCGGCGTGGCTGACATCTGGTGTTGCAGAAGCTGGTACTGACCCAGCATCGGCGTGGGCCGCAAGCTCTGCTTCCATCTCCGCAGCAAGGTCGTCATCCATTTCCATGGGTTCTTCATACTGCTGTTCCTCGTATTGCTGACTTTCGTCGAAGAATTCTCCTTCTGCATCCTGCTCGTCATCGTACTCCTCGAAACCATCTTGCTCTGTTTGATTTTCACGTGCGTACTGGCTCTGGTCCATGATCTCGAAATCCGGTGGTTTGATAGCTGCCATATCTTCTTTCAATAGCCTGGCAACTTCGAGCTCCACTGCCTCAATGGTACGATTGCTGATGCGTTTGCGGAAGCGTCGCTTTCTCACCCACCGCAAGGGAGGTGTCAGGCCATGTGCATATTGAAATGTCGCAGGGTCAACATCCTTCGGCAAAGGGTAATGGTGGGCTTCTTCCTCCGTCTTGACCTTCCCAAGGACTAAGAGCATCTGACATATATCTGCAGCTTTGTACCAGCCTCTTTTATCCCAGCTTTTCAGTCCCTCTATTATGGCTGGCAGGTCAACCAACGTAGCAGCATATATATTTCCTCGTATCGTGACGGTAGCTCTTCTTCCATCACGGGTAAGGGACTTGAAGCTAACATCCGCACCACCCAATGATCGAGGCCCAAAACGCTTTTCCTCGATAGCTTTTCGCAGATATTCACAATCATCTCCAGGCTCCATTCGTAAGATAAACTCTTCTTCTAGAGCAGGGTCTATCTCGGTATCAGAAGCTTCTGAATCATATCCCGAGCCTCTTGGTCTTACTGGAGGTGCGCCTTTATTTTTTAATCGAAGGGAGGTAGGTTGTTTGGGTTTTGTGGTGAGCTTGAATCTTTTGATAGGGGCCCCTTCAGCAGGCGCCGCAGCTCCTGAAGCCTTTCCATTCGTATCCGCGGCCGCATCTCGCGATCTCTTCTTAGAGGAACTGCTTGTTGGTGTTTCTTTTGGAGTCTTTGTGGCAGCGGCTTTCTTGGGCTTCGCTGGCGTTTGTTTCTGTTCAGGCTGCGGTGCTGGCTGCTTGAGGCCGAGCTTCAGCTTCAGCTTTGGCGCTGCAGCTGGAGTCGAGGAAGCCGAGGGAGGTGGAGGAGTAGGGGATTTCTGGGACGGCTGCGGCGCTGCTTGCGATGACTGTGATGGCTGCGCCGCCTTCTTTCCGATGGTGAGCTTCAATATCTGCCGACCAGCCATTTTTGAGGTATCACTTGGGTCAGCTTGTAGTTATCGGTAGGCATATCATTCCTGGTAGCATCGCAAACGAGACTTCTCAAGCTCGTTCGGCGGGAGTTGATGGCTTAAACGTCTCGTGAAGTAGAAGTTTTGGAAGATGTCATTGATTGCGCCTGGAGAACAACACGGCTTAGTCAGCTCCCATTGTCGCTTTTTCTGCGATTCAAACAGCGAACGAAACAATAACTGAACAATAACTCAGCAATAACACAAGTGAGGATAAATTGGCCTGGGAGTGTCCTATTGAGCGGCTCTATTTGCTGGTTAGCGTATTCGCGACCAGAATCATTGGCTACCGGGGCCTATTTATGTCCTTCTCCCTACCATAGTTATAGGATGCGCTTCATAGCTTGTTGACAGAAGCTCCCTTGATCACCTCCATCCGCCGAACCAATCCTCAAGATGACTACACCGAACCTACATATCAGTTTGCTACGCCCTCCAGTCATTCAGATTCTTCGTGCTGCGGGATTCCATTCCACTCGACCGGCCGTAGTCGATACCTTGACTGACCTCGCCGGCCGGTACCTTCTGTTCCTAGCTTCGTCTACTGCCCAGCATGCAATCAACAGTCATGCAGTGTGCCCTACACCAACGCTCGACGATATACTTATGGCTCTACAAGATGTTGGTGCCCTGCGGCCTCAGATGAGCAGGCTAGAAGAGGATCATCGTGGAGAAGAGGATATGAGAGCCCTTGAAGCGTTTCTGGCATGGTTCAGTGGGCCCATGAATACTGAAATCAGACGTGTCTGTGGGTTTATCGCGGGTGAAGGAGAGGTAGTGGATGAAGATTCTTTAGAGAAAGAAGACTATCTAACCGGTATGTCACTCCTAACTATCATTATGCTCGGCCTATCTGAATATCTAGGCTAACTAGCTCTAATTTCAATAGCGTTGAAAAAGAAACACAGCAAGACTGGCGAAGAATCGAGGTTTCAAGGAACAGTCCTTGGAAAAGACGCAAAGGAACGGCCCGTCATCATCGAAGGCGGTGCGGAATCAATAAAGGCATGGAGGGCCCAAGTTAAATCTCGAGAACAAAGCTCGGAGCCGTCCTCGACAATTAGCAGCATTGCAAGCAACATATCGGTACCAGACGCCATGGACATTTGAACGCCCGTGACTTGCGATGCATTGAGAATAGTCCACTTCACTACATGGCCTGCTCTTAATTTGGGTACGGAGCAAGGCTTGACATATCCGCTGCGTCGGTACTAAAAACATCCGCAGTGTCTCCTCACGTCATATGCGGGATAGACTGGCTTCCATAGGTGGGATCATATCAATTATGAACATCCTCTTGAAGTCCATGAACACTTGGGTCCTGACCATTGCTTTCCCGACGCCGAATACCAATGACAAATGCTCAGCCTGTAGAAATGCAAGGCAAACCACACCCCTCATAATTCCCAAGGATCAGCTACAGAAGAAACCATATGGGACTACGATGTGCACTTCCTGTTGTACACAGTGACTTGGCCAAACTGCACCATTTGCTAGGTCTATTTCCCTAAGCACCTCGACATGTATTGTTGTCCCACCTCGCCATAACCTATGGTGATTTCATGGTACTCCCAAGCCCATTAGTATTGTACCTTGTGTCCGCTGAGCTGCCACTACCTTCTCCAAAAAGCAGTTCCTAAAAAAGGCAAAACTGCGTGATAGTCAACCTCATTGCTGGCTGTCTCGACCATACTTTTGGTTATACAGCACTGGTTCTCTCCATTTTATCGGATTTATATAGAAGGTTTACATGCTGCGGTCTGCATGCATCATTTAGGAAAAATCGGTCAATCATGAAGTTTTGCGCAGACGTTGTTTTGCATAACTTGACTAGATCAACAACATAAATCAACATCCAAGCCATTATTACAACTCGCCTTCAAATTCATCCTGCCTCTATTGACATACTAAACCCCTGTCTTGTTTACATTTCACTCCAATACATACCCCCATAACCAACCCACAGAGTCGAGCAGTCAGTCCTGATCCCCGGATTCCAAGACGAGAACTCATCAGGGGAAATCCGGTATTTCTCAATAACACTCTGGCAGGTATCGCCTTCGGAAACGATATGCCACTCCTTGCAAATTGTAGCTGCTGCAGGCTGGAGGGTATTTGGTAGAGATAGCGGCGTCAGATCTGGTTTAAGCGCTCCAGACAGAGCTGAAGGGAGCCATCCTCCGATAGTTTGCTTTTAAATGTATCTTTCTTGCAGTTTTTCTCTATCCAGGGATTCAACGTGCGCAATTCTGAGAGGCTGAGGCCTGTATACTCTGGCATCTCTGATCAACTTGAATATTCTACTGAGACGTTAGCTGATTCTATTTCGCGTGAAATCTTTGTCCTTGGATTTTTGTTGCATACTTTTGTCGGTTATACCCACTTCTACCACTTCTAGATAGCAGCTACATTCCCATTGCGGAATCGAAGGCGAAGGTATAAATCTCGAATTTGGTTCTGAGCAGTACTCGTGGGGAAGAGTTGCCAATTTCATATTAGTCTCAATGACAACTGCATTGCGTGCGCAAACCCATAGGAACTTACGTCTATCTTTCCAGCGTCTGATGCAGTACCTGTACCCGGGTTTCAAGTAACAATCCTCCCCCCGGCGTAGACTCGGGTTCCTGGCGAGAAATACCTCGAGCTTTACCTCTCCTTTTGTTGCCCACCATGTACACCAATTTAATGAGGCATCGCGGGCTGATTCCTCTTCATTTAAATTCTCATATCTATAGCAACTTTCAATTGTTCCTGGGGCAAGTGGATCAGGGGTTGGAGGGGTTGGCAGTTTTCTCTCAGGAAGTTTTGATGAACCATCTTCCCGATAGGGTGTTGTGCTTGTTGGGAAACTATTTCATAAATGTGCTAGCCTGTTTAACCGAAATATTAAAATCCGTGAGCTCACATTGTACAGAGATGCCACCCTCTCCATGAGTCAAGGTTAGTACAATTTGAATTGATCATAGGGTTCCAATTCAAGAGTTTTTCCATAGTGATATCTAAGTCCTCAACCAGGGAATTGCAGTCTTCCACCGTTCCAAGTTGGCGTGTTGTGCAGTGCAAGGGAAGGCAAAGGTAATGGCTACGCCGAGGCAGATCATTATGAGCAAAATCCATTGCATTCTCCTGGATCAGATGGAAGGTAGATACATTATGTGAACCGGATAGATTTATACAGGTATCATTTGGCTGGGCTGTTATTTCTGTGTGGTCGCATGATCTGTCTAGAAAGGGCCCAGTCCAGTTGAGTGCATATTGGGCTGGTATGTCGTAGTTATACCCTTGGACACCGCAGCTTGATGTCAACACGGAGAAAACTGCAGGATCCTCATCGTTGTAGCCAAAGGGAGAAGAAAGTCGTATGTGTTGGATACCAAGCTCACACAAAACAAGCATGTGAACCATTCTTGTCATTAGCCCACTCTGCTATCATCGTTTGGCAATATTGACCGGATTTTCTATCTGGTTTTAAGCCACTAACTTTTCGATCTCTGTTACCCTGTGCTTTACCTATATTTAAGGCACGAGAGACGTGTTGCGTAGATGTAACGATTAACAATATATGTCACTGTGCCAAAGAAGGGAGCTCAGTAACCGTCATAAACACCAGTTAGGTTCTGAATGATACCTGGATAAGCCGCCCTCCAGGGGGGAACCATTCTATCAACAGCGCATGCCGCTTTAATTGAGCCTTGAAAAGATTCGAGATCTGCCAAGCAAGAGGATTCACACAACTTGTCAAGGGTATCATCATGGAGAAACTTCACTCTCGATGTTCTACGGGGTATGCTTTGTCAGTTGATTGAGAGGCCCTGATTGCTGCCGGAGTGGACTCACAAGAAACCTGCATGTTCGGGAAGAAAATCAGGGCAGAATTTTACAGGTAGACCCTCTTCTCGGCCACGATGGATGTCAGGACAGATGACAGGCACATGGTATCATTAAGGGGGCAGAGTCATAATTTCAGACAGGGACCGAGACGGTGGTAGCGAATTCGTTAGTTATCTCGACATCATGGGGTATAGCAAGTTGACTAATGACCTCCTTCGTTTTTATGGAAGTCAGTTATAGGACTCCTTCTCCCCCGAGGTTGACCTTTGACTGGGAGAAAAACCACTCTCTCGACGTGAATGATATAAGGATATCGTGTCCTCCGTAAAAGGACTCCGTATGGAAAAAGTCCTCATCGCGCTCTTTATGCAAGGGGGAAGCGCCTTGACCTGGGCTTGGCGGTGGGTCCGGATGCGGGCCGGTGGGGCTTTAGTGGAACTCTATTTCGCGCTAGTAAAGTAGTTTTTGTTGGTTGGTGGAACTATTAATAGTTCTCGTCGAGATGAATTCAAAAAGCTCTGAATTTGCATACCTCCTTGAGGCTATGTGAGCAGTATCATCGAGGCATGCATGTAAAATATATATAGAGTAAAAGATTTCTAGGTTTGCTATTGAATTCTTTTCGTACTATATATATTATGTATTTTAGTCTCTTCACCTAGCTGTTGGCGCACGTCATAGTCGTATGGAGCAGTGACCAAGTAAAGCCTGGCCAAGGATAGATTTATTCGACATTCGTACACTTACGCAAGTAGCCCGGTAATTTACTTTTGTCTACTGAGTACTATGTATTAGGCGGCCGCCGATATTCGTTATACCACTCGTGCGTCTCCATCATCATATTATAATTCGAAACAGTTTCCATAACTAAGTATACATCTACCAACGTCCTCGTCACTTTTTTCTGTTTTGCCATACTCCCATTCTAGATATACTGTATAGTGTCTATCCTCTGGTTTCCGCGTGCCGAAGTTTTTGGCCAGCATCTTTACGACAGGGCTTCTCATATGCTCCATAGACTCCATGAAGTGATCACAGATATCATGCGACGTGGTGCCTTCGAATTTAGCCTTATCGTCCATGATTATCATCTCATGGAAAGGAAGCAGATCCATTCGTTCGTGTAATTCAAGCGATTTTTCAATCTTTTCACGCATGATTTGAAGCATTTTCTGCCATGCTTCTTCGTCGCTGTATGAAGTTCGATAGACCACCCAGTCCCAAGGAAAATGACTCTGTAGCTTCCACCTGATGATAGTCTCGGGGTCATCGATTCGTCTTAGACGGTCGTATTCTCCAAATGTTCCGTAGTCAGCTATTCGGCGAAACTACGAGCCAATCAGCCTGGGAACACGACTAGAGAATCCATGTGCGGAGAGACAAGACGTATTGAAAAAGACCCCTTTCGCAGCTCGATGGATGGTACTTCTCAAAAACATTGAAACAACAACTGTCAAACGCGGCTGGGAATTTTGTCTTGGTGGAAGGTATCTGAGGAACGAAGGAACTGAACAGGTATGGGGTTTTGAGGTAAATGTGGGTGTGAGTATCGACTATATATACCTAGCGATCCCGCGGACTATATCGCGAGTGGGTATATGCCTGGTTATGGTTGATTTTTTCACTAAGTTAGATAACCAGTTACCCCTTTTCGGCTCATTGCTCCGCGATGTGATCCACATCAATATCAAAAATTCTACTCTAAAGTAAGTTAGCCAATATGTTCGCGGATTAGTTAACTAATTGTTAGTTAACAAAATAATGTTGAGGTCAGGGGTAGTTAACTAGAACTCCGTCCTTTGTACTCCATAACTTGACAACTTCAAAAAACAAACGGCATACGGGCTTTCATTCTTCGGCACTTGATGTGATAAGAATAAATGATTCCCAACACAAAGGAGTCGCACTGAGAATCTACCCCGATGACAACCATGGGCCTGCTGGATCTCCCTCCTGAACTCTGCGATGAAATATTCCGACATTTGGTTCTTATCTGGCCTCAAGAAGCGCACACAGTGAGGCTTGTTTGCAGTATGTATGACATATATTGATATATCTGCAATGACGTTGCTACAGAATAACTTCAATTACTATCTGGCTGTCGCTTCTTGCTATACCCTAGAACCCTTTGACTTTGGCATTACCCAGGCCGATATGAATACGGGAGTGATGAATACTCTGCTTGAGACCGCGAGATATTGGCCACCTTTGCCATGCTTAATAGATACATAATTCTCAGAATTCTCCAAGATGAAGATAACCCAACCTTTGTGGTTCAAACCATCAGGGAAACGGCTAAGCCCTTACTCCGTGCCGAAAATACAACGTCTCGGGAGGTTATGGTTGAGAAAACTTTGCTTCTGATCGGGGCAGCGTGCAAGACTATAATACCTACACACTTACAAGAGCTATTATTGCACGAGATTGCGCACGGTCACGGGGATACCGCCGTACAACACATATGCCTCAGTCTCTTATTCACATTTTATCCGCGGTAGTTCATCATGACAACATTCAGCTGGCCACCGAGTTGTTGAAAGGGGGGGTTTCGTGCAACCAACCAAGCGAGATATTTGGGCCACCACTCTGCATTGCGGCATATAGAGGGAACAAGGAGATGGTGAACCTTCTACTCAAGTTCCGTGTAGATCCAGCATACATCTATCGGCTTTATAACCGACTCCATCCTCGGACTCCGCTCCAAGCAGTTGCTTACGCCGGAATGAGGAGATAGTAGACCTTCTTCTTCAGCCTAAGCTCGGAGTACGGAGATCTGATGATAGATTCTACAGGGCTATGGTATTTGCTGCTAGAGGTGGAAACGTAAATATCTTCCAGAAGCTTGTGGATGTCGCAGCTCCGCAGGATGATCCTTTGTTTGAATGGATAGATTGTTTCATGGCTGCCCGTGAATCTGGCGCAATATACATTGTCCGCTTCATACTTTTCAAGGGCGGTGATGTAGAATGCATGAGAAACTGTTAAACACGTTTAATACGCGTGGCTAGGAAAGGGTACCACGATATAGCCCGTGTGCTTTTGGAGGCAGGAGCAGATCCGGATTATGATCCACAGCACCAGTTGGCTATAACTATGGCATAACAGATGTGGTCGACTTGCAAAAATCGGGTCCATAAGCAA